CCTAGCATCCAAGAACCACAGACAAAAATACGTCCTTCTAGGTCATGCACCCAGTGACCACCTCCAAACAGGCCCCACCTACTAACAGCCCATTTAGCCATGAACCCATCCACAGATGGATCCACTAATGAGTCCAGTCACCATCCAAAAGCCCCACCTCTGAACACAGGAGGCTCTCCTAACATAGTTTTCTCCTGTGACTCTTCTCATTCTTTCTGTCCAGCTACGCTAAGGTACACGATCTGCTGCTTTTTGCTTCCTACCCCAGGGTTTCTCTGTTGCTGTTAAGTGGGATTTGTAAGACAACTTCTCAGCTTTTCTGATGTCTTTACTGACTTAAAAGCTGAACAAGGGAGTTTCTACCTCAATGAGCAAGTCTTGAACATACGAGAATGGAAAATGACTCATCAATGCATCCTGTCCACCCTTCACTCTGTGTACAGCAGTCTGAGGGTCCTCAGTTTTCTCAGGCAGTGATCAGATTGAGAACACACCTCCTGTTTCGCTTTGCCTTCTTACTGTTTCACTCTTTCCCGACATCACTTTATGCCCTGGTCTCAAGCTCTGCTTTCAGAGCCACTGACCTAATATTGACCTTCACATTTTATGTTTAGCCTTGGCCCCTGGCGTAGCTGCCAAAGAATCCCATAAATTTCATGCGTTAAGTTGAAGCAACAGTTCTCACTATTTAGCCCACAGGAAATCTATGTGGGGTATTGAAGATCTAATAAGCGCTGATGATGCATTCTTATCCCAAGACACTCTCCTTTCAGCATGGAAGACTGAGAGGCAAACAGAAATTTCAATGGGAAGGGATCTTTCGTTTTATAATTCAGTTAAACTTTTGTTCATTCATCTTGAGCTACTGTATCTTCCAGACGCTTCTATGTACAGAGAAAGGTTGACATGAAGCTGTTTGCAAATTGATCATCTCAAGGAATGGTGAAATCCGTCTGACCTGGAGCTGTCCTTTGATAGTACCTGTCTAGGAAGGTATGTGCCTAATGTGTCTTTCACATTCCCGTAAGAGTCATAGGGACCAGATCATGACAGTCTCATCCGCCCAAACTCCAGGGTCTCATTCAGCCTCCTCTTTAGGACAAATAAGAAGCCACTCTCAACTGGTCACATTCACAATAAAGCCTATTTGCCTTGAAAAAACTCTTCATTTATACAGATGAGAAGACAGATCCAGGGTAGAAGAACTTGCAAATAAATAGCGGAGTTTAGTCAAGAATCCACGACTACTCATACAGTCCTCTTTCTTCACTGTTCATTCATTCATTCATTTATTCCTCCATCACTTGATTGGTTAATTAGTTGTTTCATTCTTTCCCATTGGTTTATGAGTTCATCTTGTTTCATTCATTGATTCATTCACATGTTTAGCCAACCAAAAGCCTCACCAAGATCTTGAAATGAGAGGTTGATTTCACTTCAACGAGAATATCACAGACACACAAATATACAAGTGTATTTCCTACCGCCTATGAGCTCTCATATGCAGAAACTATTTCTTAATGGTTGCCATATTTCCACAACTACTGTGGCCCCACCATGTCTGCCATCTTGTCCTTCTCCCCCTGGAGTCAGTAGGGGACTCTAAGGAGTTTTGAAAGCCCTGGAGTTGAGAAGAGCTTGCAGACCCACAGACATGATGCTGCTATTGGTCACACCTCAGGTAAAAAATCAGAGTCACTCCTAGGGCTTCGGACAGAAAACACCACATAGGAAGCCAGTTGAATAGGTAGTAGGAGAGTAACAGAGCACGAGTGACTCGCTGAACAGTGAGGGGCAGGAAGTTGTTTCCTTGCCTAGGCTGAGGAGCCAAGAAAAGAGGTGATATGGTGAGGCCATGGAGTCCAAGTCACCCAGTGAGAATTCAGCTCATAAAGTATCTCTCTGGCTGGTCCACCATGGGAGACACCACTGAAGGAGGAAATAGGAGGAAAAGCTAGCTTCTCCCTTCCTCCTCCCTGCTAATTTTCCACTAGGGCTCCCATTGTCCAAATTGGGATGAATATCAGCTGGCCAGCGAGACTGGAATTGGGGAAAAACAAGGAAGTAATAAACAGACAAATTGTCCCGGACAATGCTCCCTGCCCCTTCCAGTTCTAACATCTCCTAAGTCTCTAAGCAGATCTTGGTCAGATCCATGGTCCAGAGCACATTTTGGTTTAAGCAAAGAAGTGCTTTTCATCTTGGAAGAAATGCCAAGGATATGTGATTCCAGGCTCTTAGTTTTTTCAGTTTGTTAAACAGATGAAAATATGCTATTCTAGACTGTGCCTTAATAACCTACACACGTGCCTACACAATGGAGGAAAATAAATATTTGTATAAAGAGACAGAGACATGGGTGTATAATCTTCAAAGGGAATTTCTCATCAAGTAGAAATGTAAGCTAACATATGTTATTAGAAAACAATATACCTTTATTTAGTTCAGTGTCCTCTAAACAAAGTCTGGTTTTCATGTGCACAACCATTCTAAATCTACCTTCCAAAAGACAAGAGGATCCAGGCTGGGAAATCTGAAAGAAGGAAAATTTTCAGATAAGCATCCAGAGAATGGCAAGGGAATGATACAGCATAGCTAGAAAGCAACAGAGAAGAGAAGTCACAGGGGGTCACCCCCTTATGGAAGTCAACCATCGGAGGAAGTCACACCAGCCAGACTGTGATGCTGGGGCCAGAGGGGACAACCTGTACCCAAGTGGCAGGACTGAATAAAAATGGGACAGAGAAATCCACACACTCTGTCTATAGATGGCTTCATTTACCAAAAATAAACACATATTAAACCAGCTTTTATTATATACCCGCTGCATAACAGATCTATGGTAGATGAATTCTATGACTGAATTAATCCCTTTGCACGTTAGAGAAACACCTCCTCATGGAGATAAAATAAATAAGGTCACGTGTACAAGCCAGACAGTCTGATCCAGGGAAAGTTATCAATAATTCAAAGCCACTTTTAGGTGACTGTGATTTCTATTCTTGTCACTATATATTATCATTTTATCATCACATATGCATATTTTAAAAATAAGATTTTAGATTTATTCTACCTCCTGCATTTAACTATGACTTCAGCTAGTTACATACTGTAAAGTAGAAATGCTCTTCCATACATTTTCTTATGAACTACAGTTGGGCTAATCTGTCAAGAAGTGTGGAAACCCAAAAGCCATCGTGGTTGGGCACTGGAACGCATTCCAGTGGATATTTTGGGTTATTTATTTAGGCTCACTAAGACAGCACACCAAGCCTATATTCAGTGTTCTTTCATGCATCATTTGATTTAGTTTTTACAGTAAACTCCCAAAGTACAAACCCTCTCCCTTTCTCTCTCTCTCTTGGAACTGAACCCAGGACTTTTTTACTGAGCTACATCCCCTTCCCTTTCTGGTTTTTATTTTGAGGCAGGGTCTCAGTAAGTTCCCCAGGCTGGGCTTGAACTTGGGATTCTCCTGCCTTAGCCTTTCACTGTGCTGGAATTACAGAAAAGACCCCCAGCCAGGTGCTGACAGAGCTGGAATTCATCTGACCTGTTGACCACATGTCCAGTGGTCTCCCCACTGTCCTGTCCTCCCAGATTTCCAACCCAAATCCCCTGCCTGGTTGCCCAGGGAGCCCACAGAGCCATGGAAACTCTTCCAAGCTTAGCCCAGCGTTCAGCCCAGGTGTTCGATTCTTGGCCTTACCTGCTCTAGATTATGCTTTCCAGGGACTTTTGTGAAGGAGATCTCACATAATAACCCTATCATTAGTATTACCATCATTATGATCATAATCCTGTCTCTGAAATAATTTCCATAAAATATATTTACTAAAGGAAAGCAGCACTTGAGATAAAAATGCTAATACATCCCCATACCACACAATCCCCAGATGGCCTTGTTTTAAGTGGAAGAAGACACCATAATAATAACCACGATTACCATCAGTTCCACAGGGTGCAGATGTGGATGCGACAAAGATGCTGGGATGCTCCCATAGAAGTTCAGAAAATCTTTCTGTCCTCCATATGACACAAAGGCATGAATCCAGTTAAAGAACGGGTTCTGTGCACTCACATTTTCATCTTCCTTGCATATCTATGCCCCAGATGGCCTCATGTTTAATGGGAGGAGAATAATAGTCACTTTGTGAGCCATTTGGGAGAAATTACAGAAGTATGGGAACTGCCCTGGGTATCTTTATTCAATTTTCTCTCATTTCCCCAGCAGTGTGAATAAAGAACTGCATAGTTTAGCCGAGGGTGCCATCTTGACTTCTAAAGGGAAGGACATCTAAAGTGAATTCTCCTCTGACCCTTGGGACCTACTTGGACTCATGCACAGGAGAACACAGCAAGCCTGTTCCTTGCCTCATGCTCCCTTTGCCCCTACACACACACACACACACACAATGACACAATAATGACACAATATGTCTTCACATCTCGGATACCTAACTGTAAGTGCTTCAAAAATTGAAAAATATTTTACTATGTTTTTCCCTTTTGCTTTTAAATTGAAACTTCTTGGCTTACATAAATACTGCCTTAGGACAATCTACCAGATTCTAGTAAAGATAATGTTTTGATCTCTAACTTTAAAGTCCAAGACTTTGTGTTATTTAGGAAGAGAATGTGGCGTTGGGTCTCCTTGCTGAGTGAGGGGACAGGAGAAAGGCGCTCTGTCTTGATAACACTGGGCAGAGGTCTTCCCTGGGTGGCACTCTAAAGCTCAACAGCTCTGGGAATCTTTACACTCCCTGGGATTCCAGGCGTCGGAGCAGAGAAGGATCCATATCAAACTCACTAAGAGATGTCCGAGCTAGAAACTGGCATCAGGATCCCAGCCTCTGATTCACCACATTTCTGGAGTGCCAGCGATGGTGGACACAAAGCCAGGAGGACCCAAAGTCTTGAGTTCTGTAGTGCCTACAGCAAAGGCGTACTGTGCTAATGACTTAGCAGTAGCAGAACAAAATGTCCTCACAATGCAAGCATTGAAGAAGAGACACCAGAGATCTTTATTTTCCAAATGAGTGATCCAAAAGTTGAAAAAGCTGAGTACATTTGCTAAAAGTGGTGATAGATTCAGGTCAAAATTGACTGTACCCACTCCCAACCAAGCGTTCTTTCCATCCACCACAGAGCATGATCCAGATCCCATGATCTTATTCCTCCCAGCAGAAACCCCAGTGCCTCCACCCTGAGGGCTGAGGCTTAGGCCAGCCAGCCTTCTTGCCCCATGTCCTATCAAGCTCAGTATAGACACCTGGAGCCATAGACAGGCAACTACTGCTTTAGCTGGCAACTGATGCCTGCTGCTTCCCTAATGAGAGTCCTCCTTGTGCAGTTTCCATCCTGCCCAAAGGGAATGATTCCTGTACCTCATAATTCTCCACCACTCCCTTCAGAGCAACAACATTTTTATCACTACTTGTGCATTTGATTCAAGAAAATAAAGATGCTTTTGAGAACTATTAATGCATCATTTAAAGTTCTTTCCTTCCTCTCCTTATTCAAGTTCTAGTCCTTTTTTTTTTTTTGGTACTGGGGATCAAACTCTGGCGCTTGCACAGCAGGCAGCAAAACCACTGAGCCAAATCCCCAGCCCCAAGTTCTAGTCCTTCTTAATAATACACGTTATGTATCAGCCTCATTATGTCCTCAACAAATAATCCTCTTTTCTCTAAATGTGTGCTGTGTAGCACAGTACACACCAGCCATATGTGGCATTCTACCTGAGGGTGAATTATTTAAAACCGATGAGATTGAAAACAGGATTTCAGTAGTCACATTTCAAGTGCCCATTAGCCACAGGTGGCCGGTGACTGCCACACTGAGTAGCACACATATAGAGCATTTTCATTGCCACATAGTTATATGGAATAATATTGCTCCAAATGCTAAGGATACCTTTTAGAAATAAATAGCTGTATTGAAAGGTAGGATCATAAAGTTTTTAAATGCAAAAGACTTTGGAAAGCACAGAGCCCAAGGCTTCATTCTACATAAGAAAAAATGTTAAAACGATTGACGTTGCTGATAGGTGACATGCAGACGCTCTAGGAAAACTATCATGTCAGGTGTGCATTTATCTCCGGTATGTTTCACCTCCAGCTTTAATTTGTAAGATCTTTGAGGACAAAAATGACTTTTCTTCATTTCTGCATCTCTCAATCTTGATGCCACATCTAACAGACACGGGCAGGATGAGAATAAAGTCCAGATGAATCCACGTGGACAGGTGCTGGGGTGTATCTCCCAGCCCGGGGCAAGGTCATTCCTGAGAAAAGGCACACATGTGAAGAACTCTGTGAGGACACAGTGAGTATAGTCAAGGAGTTGTCAATGGGATTCAGATTTTAGAAGTTCTATCCAGATTCAGACCATCTGGGAGGGTTGCACTACAAGTTCTAACCAACAAAATTAACTCTCATTCCTCACAGAAGGCTGAGAGGTTTCAGGAGTAAAACTCGAGACTCTAGATCAGGAACTGAACTAGAGGAAAGCAGAACCCTGACCCGGAAGAAGCAGAGAATGAGGCAGGTCACTCTGTTTATAGACAGAGGGTCCAGTGGGGTTTCTTTCCGAGCTCTTGATGTCCTGAACAAAGAACAAGGCAAGACACATGGAAAAGGCAGCAAAAGTGTAGAGTTACTGAAGGTGGAAAATTAGTACACTCTGCAAGATGAACGCAGCCATTGAATGGCTCACAACAGCCCTGAAGGATAAAGGAAAGGAGTCTTTGTATTCTAATTTCTGGATTGGCTCCCTGCTCACACAAATTAGGTATCTAGATAGCTGTCCTATAAAACGCTCACTTTCCTTGGTGCTGTGTTTAAACTGCCCATGGAAAGACTTGCCTGTCTTCCCCTAGATGTAGATGAAGGATGAAGATCAGTGTCTTTTGATTGGCTATGTGTCTGCATACAGATGAACGATTGAAAGTAGCATCTTCTAATTGGTTCTGCAAACAGCACCAGATTCAAATGAAGGTTGAAGATACCACATTTAGATTGGTTCTTGTGCAGTGCTCAGGGGCTCTAGAGTCATTTTGGGTCCCGTGTTTTGTGCATATCTTCTGAGTCTTTATGACCTCTCAGTTGATTGTCTGGTTTTCCTATCCCTAATCTCCTAGGCAGAAACTAAGACTCAGCAAGAGATGGGACAAAGACCATCTTCAAAATCATTTCAGACCATTGTTAGTCCTGTAGACCTCCTCAATTTAATGAATACAAATCTGCAGCTCCTTCTTCCCAATTTCCCTCCATGGGGAGGTTGGCTGAGATCCAGCGCCCTGCTGGGGGTGGCCAGGGCCATGTGACAGGGGTGAGGTCTGGATTTGGGGGGCAGCCCTAGGTCCCTCCATTGGGCACTGAGCTTGTATGCTTAGAGCATGAGAAAATAAGGCCACCAGAAGAAGAAGTGCAAGTTTGTATTTTTAAAAAGCCATGAATGTAGCTAACCTAGGAAAAAGGCAAGATTTCATGGGATTTCCGGTCACTGTTAACTTTCCTCTTTGGAGGACAATCCCTATCATTCCGTATGAGCTTTGGGGTAGATGGAAGTCCTACTTCTCCCTTGCCTAGTGGGCACAGGACATCCAGACGGACTCCGGCAACAGGGATGTGCTCTCTGGCTCTGTGTGTGGGATCCCCTCCTGTGGTCTCTTCAAAAGAACCAAAGCCTTTGCAGGAATTTCATCCTCCTTTCCCACCTCTATGTAAAGCAAGATCCAATTAAACATTTAAATTGAAACTTAAAGCCATTTCCTGAAAGAGTTAACATACTATAACCCATCATAAAAGGAAAATAAGACCCATTTATACTCAAATTACACAGGAGTCTCTTGCCTCTATCGGGCTCAAGAGTATTTGCTCTTAGAAGCTATTTTTTCCTTCAAAACAATAGCACAGGTGCATAGCCCTTCAGAGTACAGCCTGCCCGTCCTGGGAGGCAGGAGGGGGATTTCACACCTGTTTCTTCTCTTTATTTGCTCCTGGCCAGGCTAATTTGTCCAATGTCAAGATCAGCATGGCCAAGTCTGCCAGGGAGAATTACCACCTTGCAGCACAGCAGCCTCACTCTGGGCATGGGGCTTCGATTTTCTGGCTGCACAGCTATTCTGTTTCATAGCATACTGAAATAGGACTGAATAGTGATAAGGATTTAGAAAAGGCTCAGTGTTTACTGACCTGAGAGAGAGAGGACAGAGTAAGAGGAAAAGGAGAGAGAGGGAGGAGGGGGGGGAGAGAGAGAGAGAGAGAGAGAGAGAGGAAAGAAGATAAAGGGAAAGAAGAGAGAAAGCAGTTTTGACTGGCATGTTGCTAAGGGGGATGGAAGAAAAGGGACATTATTTTGTGCTTTGATGGGCTACAGGTGAGTTCTAGGAAAACACGTCTAATCTTTACTTCTTGTGTCTCAGAAATAGATGGTCACCTGCTCAAATATGTCTGGAGGACAGAAAGGAAGAAAAGGACTTCACCCGTGCTCAGGACCTGAGTGTCACCACGTATCCAGGGTCGGGAGGGAGGCTGTGCCTGTCTGCACCCCTCTGCCCAGAAAGCTCAGTGCAGCCAAGGCATGACCACTCACACAGTAAGACATAAGCCAAGAAGGCATTGCTGAGGAGAGCACAGTTACATTGCATGCAGTGGTGACCACCCTACAAAGTTTCTGCTTTAATTTGAATCTGTGTATTCCTCATATTTCACCCTTAATTTTCTCTGGGATAGAATGGCCACATAAGGTACATTTTTAAAAAACTGATTTGAAGCTGGGCATGGCGGCACATGCCTGCAATCCCAGCAGCCTGGGAAGATGAGACAGGAGGGCTGCCAAGTTCAAGACCAGCCTGGGCAACTTAACAAGACCCTGCCTCAAAATTTAAAAAATTAAAAAGGTTGGAGATGAAGCTCAACGTTAAGGCCTAAGATTCCATTCCTAGTACCAAAATAAATAAATAAATGAAATTGGTTTGAAATATTAATTTAAAATAATGAATTGTTAGACTTATACAAAATTTTAAAAATACTTCCTTACCCAATATTAGTAGATGACATCATTCTAGCATTTACATTTTCAGATATGATTTTTATAATTCTAATGGAAAACCCAATATCCTATAGGTTCATCAATTTCTAAGTCAGCACTTTGAGGGCTCACAATGTCTCTAATCAAACAAAAGGCTTTAAAAAAACATTTGATATTTTTAAATAATGTGTACTGAATTATTGAATATAAACTTATTTTCATAGTTTATGTTAATTATTTAAATATTTAGAATATGGTTTTAATTACCATAAAACTTTACTAAACATCCACCTGTCAGTAAAGAAACCAATTTTTTTTTAGATTCTCTTTCTCCTAAAAGCAAAACAGGTGTGAAAACTGCAGGTATTTATCCACCAACAAAAAATAAAAGATATCTGTGAAATGTGAAGGAAGGAGTAAAACATGAGTCAAATCTTGGTGCTACAATTTATTCCTGTGAGATTCCAAGCCCGATGAGCACACAGACCCCAAGAAAAGTCTTCCTGTTGGCCTCGTACCTCATGCTCCTTGGCCTTCACAGTCGAGGCCTGGCCACCACGTTCTGGGCTGTGTTAGGGTGATTTTGGAATGCCAAACAAGGGTGCCAAGACTCCAAAGCTTTCTAAGAACCATAAAGTGGTACCCAAAATAACCAGTGATGTAGTAAATGTCTAAGTCAGTCAGAGGAGGTATAGATGTGTTTGTATCCCTTGGCAAATAACACATTGTCAGGTGTGGAGAAGACTCCTGGAGTTGGAGGAGGAAGAATGGAATTGAAGAACCTGCTTCACGGAGCCACTGTTCAAAATGAATCAGTGGAAGGATAGATGGATGGATGGATGAATGGATAATAGATAGATACATAGATAGATAGATAGATAGATAGATAGATGGATGGATGGATAGATAGATGATAAATGGATAGATAGAAGGAAGATAGATAGAGATAAATAGATAGATAGATAGAGCACTTACTCATGCCTCCTTGGCCCACAAAATGTTGCCTCTTTGTCAGCTTTTGTCATTAATAAAGAATGATATTTGAATGTAGCTCCAATAGTTCAGCCTGCATTCCAAATGCTGTTCAAAAGGAGAAACAAACTAGTAAGGATATCAGCATTTACCTAAAACATGTTTTATCTCATTACAAGCTTGAGAGTATAGAAACCACATTGTTATTGTGTGGTAGGGAGAATAACTCCACCAGAATAATCATTACACACGTGCAGAGCTCTGGGGACACTGGTGACCTATGTTAACTGATATTTGTTATAGAGAGCACTGGGAAATGTCACAGCTCTGTGTGTGTGTGTGTGTGTCAGAATTCAGTTCCTAGAACTCAGTTCTCTGCCATGGTGTATGGGACATTGTGGCATAAATATCAAGTCAGAAATGTCATCCAACATCCTAATATTTGACATCTGACATTTTGTGTCTAGATCTCCTCATTGTTCAATTAATCTCACTGAGTAATATTTTTTAAGAAATAATTTTTTTATTCATTAAGTTTATTGGTTCATTCTAGGGGTACAATATGATGACATTCATCATTGGGAATTTGTACCTTTACATGATATATCTTGGTTCTTATTTCTCCCCCATTAGCATCAATATTCAAAAAGGCCTTGCCTCCACTTGCCTATAAAATGAAGACCAGACTTCTTATCCAGAAACCCTCATCACAGGAAGGGCTTCAGGTGACACCCTTGACTCTTCTACCCAGGCCAAGGGATCCCTCTGCATTTCTCCTCTTCTGACATTAGGGGCTTTTAGCCCTCAGCTCCAGGAGGACACGAAATGTTCAGTGTATTTAACAGTATTCAGCACTTCTCTGTAAGAGCATTCTCTGTCCTCTCATTTTCCTCCTCTTATCAGAATTTTTAAGCTTCATGTGAATCTTCACTTCTTGGATAAAGAATTTGTCTGAATTTTCCCTTCCTCACCCCAGGACACAGGGCTGCCTGACCTCTGTGTCCCTTAGTGTGGTCAGCACCGTGGTCAGCGACTGCCAATGTAGAGATCTTGGTGAAACCTGGTTAAGTCCTGTCCGTCTGTCTGTCTATCCAACCATACCATCCATTCATTCATCCATCCATCCATCTGTATTTTTCTTTATTTCTTCTGTCATCTATCAATCTGTCGTCTAGCTATCATCTTTCTGTCTATCCATTCTCCATTTCTCTAATCCTTGATCTTTTCGGGATTGTGTATGAGACTATAACTTCCATTTTATAGATATATGAATTAAGTTCCAGTAACTCCACCCATATCTCCGTGGCTTTCATGGAACTCCTTATTTCCCATTGTATGTTAGTGGTCTGTTGATGTCTCCTGTATCATTCTGATATCATCAATCAAACCTTCATTCCTCTCACTATAAGGTTGTCGATTTTGTTGGCCTTTTCAAAGGGCAAGCTCTCAGCATCATTGATCTCCTTTATTGGTTTTCTGATTTTAATTCCACTCATTTTTGCTCTTTATTATCACTTTCCGTCTGCCTGCTTCATGGTTATTTTGCTTTTCTATTCCTAGTTTCTTAAAGGTGAGGCTTAGATGGACTTGAGGCTTTGCTTTCTTACAGTCAGTAACTTAATACTTTGATTTCCACCAGTGAGAGAGTCTGGTGTGATCCTACTCCACCTTGCCCAGAAGTGAGGTCAAAAGGTTTAGGCTTAACACAAAGCAGGAGGTGTAGTGGAGCACTCCAAGCATGGAACCACATTGGCTTGGGTTCTATCTATATTTACTGAACAAACTGTGCCTATGCAGAAGATCTTATCCTCTGTTTCTCAATTACACTTGCTACAAAATAGATGCAAATCCTAGTTTCTGGTGCTCCCATGAGAATCTATATAAGAGAATGTAGGTTGCCAGTCCAGAATTTCTTGACAATGCTTTACCTTATCTTCTTTTTCCCTGATGCAAAGCCTTGGTCCCTTTGGCCATTCAGACCTCTGAGGATTGGCTGTCCCTTGTCAACACAACTCACAACTCCTCAGAGCATCACTAACCCCTGCTTACTCATCGTTATTATTGATCGCTATTCAACATTCAGATCTATTTAGAATTTATGTACCATCTACTTCACTAAGCTAAAAAAAAAATCCCCACATATGTTAATTTTTAATTCAAATATATTCTCGTGGAGGAAGCTATTCTTATTTAACTTTGGAGCAATAAAGAAAGGCAAGCCCTTATCAAGGTCAGTCAACTTGTCACCTTGACTGAGAGCTGGAAATTTAGCTCAGTTTTAGAGCATTTAGCTAAAGTGCAGGCAGTCCTGGGTTCCATCCCCATTACCACAAAAGATAAACAAATAAAAGTAAATAACTAAGCAAAGATTGAAACTCATGGCAGTTTGACTCTAATTCCATTCCTTCCCCAATGTACTACAACTTTCCCTAATTTTTGTACTTTGCCCACTGAATTCCTGTCACAGCCCACCCATGCCTCCTGACACCTGACAAATCTCAACCTCATCTTGGCAGCTCCAGTCTGGGGAGTCATCTACCTTTTTTACTTCTGCTTTGGTTTTGGGGCTTCCTCAGTTTACCCTACCTGACATCAAAGTGTCAAGCTCAGAATGATGGCAGGGCATGAAGTCAAGGGAGTATGTAAGTAAACTCATCACTCCCTACTTAGGGAAACATTTTTTTTCAAATTCCTAAAGGCAAACTGTTTTCAATTTATTAAAACAGAGATTTATATTCATGGCCGAGTGGAGAATTTTTTACTGACTATTACCATTTCAATCTGCTGTCAAGGACAAATCTGCTTTTGCTGCAACAGAAAATCCATTCCTATGATTCCTATATGCACTGTGGGCCTATCATAAAGACATCTTTCATCATAATGCTTTCATAAGTAATGATTCCATGAGCCCTCGACTCTCCTCCTCCTCTCTGAACCGAGGCAAACTTAGGAACTTACCTTTAAGTCTCCCATTGGTCCCTTAACCCCACTCCAGCCATCCCTGCAGAATCTTTACCTTCACTGAAGTCAAGTTGTCTCAAATAAGAAGGGTTGAGCAGAATGAGGGACATCTCAGAGCTGTATCCATTTAAAAGAGGAAGACCCTGGGGGGTGAGTAGTGGGTGGAGGCAAAGGAGGCAATAAAGGAGAAGGCAAAGACACAAATCCAGACAAACCAAGGAGGCAGACATCTGGCTCCCCTTTTCCATCCCCTCCAGCCACTCCATTCCTGCACCTCTGCCAGTCACAGTGAGAAGGACTTTTCTCCCACAGCGAAACTCAGGCCTCGATAAGAAGTCCCCAATTTGTCACCGGACTCTCAGTTGCAGCTTGATTCTTCCAGGGATCTGTGGTCTCTGGAGCCCAGTGTGCAGTCAGTGAGCAGGATCCAGGAGTCACCCTGAATAGCTACAGAGAGAAAAGCCAGGGTGAGCCCTGCAGGAAGAACACGCAGATGCTCTGCCTACCTGGACATGGAGGGGTAGACCTGTGTGCCTGCTGCCATCCCTCTACAGGCTCAGCCAGGTAGACACAGCCAGAACTGGGAATCAAAGGAGCTTTTCTCTCCACGACATTCCCTGCCTCTGTTCAACCTCCAGACCACCTGTGCCCCAGGCACCATCTTTTCAGCCTTGTTGGAAGCTCTCCATGGTAAATGTCACCTAGAAGCAGAGCTGCACACTCTCTAGGGTGGTCACAGCTGGGACATCATCAAAGGCTCTCAGCTGGAGGGCCTTTCTTCCTTTCATCCCACAAGGATGCATGTCCTAGATTCTGGGGTATCTCGGGACTTCAAGAAAGGTTCAACTGATGGAGACAAATGCTTCCCATTCCAGTAGCTTCTGAAGAAGACTTGGATCAGATTTAGTAGAATGAGATTTTTGCACATGAGCCCATGTGAACAACCTAAGTATGATCATGCCCATGTCACAATAAATTCTAGGCAGGAATACCCAGAGAATAGAGTACAAACGGAAGAGCTGTCCATTGGATGAATGTGCAAGAGCACAGCTGGAAGGACTTCCTAGAAGTGCTCTTTGACCAAAAATTTAGTGCAGAAAATGAATCAGTAAAACAAAATATGGTGGGTGAGGTAGGTTTGCATGTATGGGAAAGAATACTACAGGGAAAGCAGTGTGTAACTGAGTATACCTTGGCTTTGTTAAATGTGTGTGTGTGTGTGTGTGTGTGTGTATTTATGTGTATGTGTCTGTGTCCTGGGATTGTGACTATTGATATATATAAAAGTACATATTTACATGTGCAAATATGCCATGAATCTTGGTATTGGGACTGCTAGTATGCAAATGCATGTATTTGTATATGTAAGTGAGTGTGTGTAGGTGTGTGAATACTGGTATTGTGATGGGCATGAGTGATTTCTGGATAACAAAAATTAAATCAATGTTTTCCTGCTTTTATTCCTCACTTGCCTTGTTCTAGCATGATGCCTCATAAGTACAAAGTTTTGGAACTTAGCATATGGATTGACAATAAGCTTTTATTCTCTTTCAACCTTGAAGCACAATTCTGAAATTTTTGATTAAGGAAGTAGACTGAAATGGATACTTCACATAAATAAGTTATATCCCTATTTTAAAGAGAAAATTTTACCTGAACTATCTTCAAATGTTTTCTTGTTTTAATGAAAAGTATTCCCACACTATATTCTACCTGCAAAGTATATCCCAAGGTAAATCCTGAAGGGAGTTTGGTTTTTTCTACACTCCTCCCTGCCTGCAGTTTTGGTGATGAGTGATAATTTGTGTAAGGACAATTGCAAATTAACAAATAAGTTTTTATAGCAAATAAAATAATATGGTAGATCTTTCCCCTGCATAACAGTTTGCAAAATATTCCTCTGTGGGCTTTTGAGAGAGATATGTTATGAATTGGTATAAAGCTCACAGGCCTGTGACATGAATTTGCTCCAGTTGATTTGATAAATGGCCACCATGTTCTTTGGGAAGATATTTGTGTTGCTGGATCCACTGATTCCAAAGCTCTGTTCTAGAAAGGCACTGGGCTGGCATCACAACACAAGTCACACCAGATTAATGCAATTTAGGGAGAAACTTGAAAGTCACAGCAACAACATTCGAAGAAGAAGACCCACTAACCCAGCACAGACAAAAAGCTCCAATTAAACCCCAAATCAAGCCAGTTCTTATTTTCTTTTCTTAAAGCAAAGCTTTCTAGACTCTCGGTGATTTGCTTATTCTCAGAAACAAAAGCAAAGGAGTTGCAGAGCTTGGAGCTGCAGACAAAGAGCTCCAATCTTCCCCCTTCTACTCATCAAACTGAAGTAGGGAGAGGGGATTCTTGTTTAACCAATACACAGGTGTGGTCTCCTTAGACGAACAGTGACTGCATGAGAAACAACAGGCTACAAGCTCTCCCTGTGGCTTTCTCCCGTGGGAACTCCCCCACCCATAAGTCTTGTCCAAATATCACCCCCTGAAGCTGTCATTCTCCAGATCTGCAGAGATGAGCTTCCTGCCTGGGTCCTTCATGAAGATGGAAAAAGCTGATTGCCACAGAGGGAAGCAGGGCAATGACAGCTTTCACTGGTCGGTGTTTTGTAGTTTGCTTTTCCAGGGGAAGCAACTGCTCAGTGGACAGAACAGGTGATCTTGCCCCCCTGCCAGGACACCCAGATGATTGTTGGAGGTCAAGAGGGGCTAGCTATGGGGAATCTCAGGTGAGTGCTTCTGTTGTAGGCCATCTTCTCCCTGGCCTGTGAGCTACACAGTCCCTTCTGAAGGACTATGTGTTTTAAATACAATGGGTATTTTCAAACTCTAACTAATAATCCTACTATATATATATATATATATGTACATATATAACCTACTATATATATATATTATAACCTGTGTGGTCACAGATTAATCCTTTGTTTGAATTTTAATCACCTCTAAAATATAAATAACTTCAAGTGTCTTTAAACCATGACAAAAAATGATTGATTTAATCAAACTAAATCTAATTATTTCAATTCACTGAGCTTTGAACAAGCACCCCCCACTAAATGTTAGAAACTGATGTGTGTGGTCCATGTTCTCAGTGAGCTTAAAATAGTGCTTTACTTATTGATTATTTCAGTCTTTTCCTAGGCTAAATTTTTTAAAGCATAAAGTCACAGAAGAGGACTTGAAATAATATAGACATTCTGAAACATGAATTCAGTAGATGATTTAATGAACACTTATAAAGATCCTTGGAACGCAATGCAAATAAATAAACCCAAAGTCCTAGGCCTAAACTGAGACAGCTTGGTTAGGACAGAGGTGACGAGAGAAGAGTCACAGAATCAGAAAGAAAGGTTTGGCTTGAAAATTTAAGAATGGAATCTACTTGAACCTTTTCTTGCAAAGAGGATATGAGAGTCTGCCCAACCTCTATAGAATATGGAGAGAGTTGGGAGAATAATTTCCAACCAGAAACTCCAAGGAGTTTTCGAGAATCAAGCTAGGGAAGACTAAATGTTAAAAATCCAAGTATCCGATGACTGAGAGAAAGTGACACATGATCTCCCATTTGGGAGGGGTCCACACATGTATTTTCAATAGTCTCATGGCATCCAGTTGTGGGTAATTTGGTGGCTGGGCACTTGGGATTAGGATGCCGAGGTGCCTTAAGTCACCTACAGCACAGGAATAGACACTGCCACTCAACCTTCCAGTGACATGTGGCAGGGACTCCTCCCTTCCAAGGCCCAGGAAAAGGCATCCAGGCAGTTTGTAGAATCCTTGAGTGGAAGGGGAGTTTCCAGAACATTCCCTAGGCTAATTATATTCACTGATGTAGTCATAGATGAGGAGGCTGCTGGGATGTCGTGTGCTAGGGTTGCTATTTTGATAATCTGACTAATAAGCAAGCCCATGAAGAGGCTCCAGCGTGGCGTGAGCCTCTTTCTGCTTTCTTTGACATGTTTCTCCAGTCATGGTCCTGGGAGAACTACCACAAGTGCCCACGAGTTGGTGATGTGAACGTCCTCTTGGCCAGCTGTGCTGGGCTGACTGTGTCACAAAATTCATAAGGCAAAGCTCCAAACCCCAGCTCCTCAGAATGTGACAGTGTCTAAAGATCATGCCTTTTAGAAGGTAACAGAAGTTCACTGAGGTACACCCCAGTCCATCATGTCCTAAAAGGAGGGGGATTAGGACACAGACACATAGAGGTGAGGACACACGGAGAAGAAAGCCATGGGCAAGGCAGGGGGAGAGGTCTCGGGAGAAACCAACCTTGCCTACACACTGGCTTTGAACATCCAACCTCCAGAAGCGTGTCTTTAAAATGTCTGCTGTTTCAGGGCCCCTGCCCCAGTCCTGGTTCTCTGCTACAGAGCCTCAACTGGCCCAGACACCACCCAAGTGTCAGGATGCCACCAGGGTCCAGTGGCCTCACACAGTGAGTATCCTGACAGGAGCAGTCATCACTTGTGGAAGCAAAACTGTGGAAGCCAACAAAGACATATTGGAGGCAAAGCAGGCAGGAAAAACTGAGAGGAGCCCTACGGTGGCTTTCCCTGAGGTCACGCATTGGAATCACCTGAATACTTTCCTGAAGCCCCGACTCAGGCCAGGCCCAGACCCTTGAAATCAGAGTCTCAGTGGTCAGAAACTCAGTCTCCAGGAAGGATTTGGATTCTCTACAGGACTCGGATCTGCAGCATGGAGCAGGCTAAAAGAGGGCATAGGGCATCAGACTAGCTCAGGGCCAGTTACTTTCCAGTTCATGGCTTTGCTGGACATGACAGGAAATGTGGACAAAACCTAGCTCACCATGACTACAATTCGTTCTGAATTTTATACCCTATTCCACATAACCACTTTATTGCTTGAGTTGTAGAGCTTGGCAAAACTCTTCTTGATTTTGTTTTAAGGCCAAGTGAGAAAAATGCTTGGATCTAAAAAAATAAAATCATAATAGCAATACAAAATGAATGACACAGGGAGCAAAACATTTCTGACAGTGGCACAAACATATTTTGGTGACATGAGTTTTATCAATTTTGCCACCTTAGCTCTTTAAGCCAGTAGTACATTCTAGCTAATTCTGTAAGTACCTACATCTTGTTGTCTTGTTTTTATTTGTAAACTGTGCCAAAAAATCTTTAAGCAAAAAAGATGATTTGAAAGCTCTGAATCTCATTAATATAATGGCAAAGTAGCATATTTTGCATTTGGACTAATTTCTTTTAAGACACAGTTAATCCTGGCCACAGACTAAAACCAATTCGAAATTTCACCACTGCTTAATAGCATTGTGCAATTTTATCTGAAAGGAAAATTCAAGAGGGGGAGCTAGTTAGCTAATTGATTAGAGATCCTGACTGAAATTTTGCAGACAGGAAGCACTTTCAGGGTTGAAGCTGTTTTGTCCCATCAGTGCCTTGTCCCTTTTTACCCCTTCCTTTCTTAGAAATTGGCTGATCTTTAAGCTTTCCCATGAGCCCAGAAGGGGAGCTGATCAAGGCTCGACAGCAGAAAATGATTAGGATTTTTAATCTTGCATCTCCCAGAAATGGAGCTACAAAAACCAAAAGACTCGGCATTGTACCCCATGCCCTGCAACTCAAAGCAAGTAAAAGAATAACAGGTGCATATAAAGTATGTGGTTGAAGCATTTGAATCTGGTTCCTGTTGGTAATTAACAATGCTCTCCTTGGAGATCACATTTGTAAGGTGTGACATCTCACGGCAGGATCCCTCGACCCGCGGCCACCTCAGCCACAAGTTCTAGGTGAATGCTCCAAAGGCGCTTCTTGTGCTTTCTGTTTGTATATTTTCTTCTGTTCTTAATTCACCTAACACCTCACTTTCTCCTCTTCTGCCTGCATTTTTATTTTGGAATCAAAATCACACATACCTGCTTTTGTGGTTTTTCTATTCATCTTGTCATTTTTCTCCCTTAGGAAATAAATTCTCGCCCACTCACACCTGTGCAGAGGCTTTTCCGAGACACAGCAGGAGGGAAGGGCCAGCTCTGAAATAAAATTTCCCAACACAGACTGTGGGACAGTGCGTGTGTGTGTGTAACTATGGTGTTGGTTTGTATGAAATGCCAACAATAGGGTATACTAATAACTGATGGTGATACTATATCAAGACAGCACCTGCAAATGGGTGTGAAGCATTTTCAATGGGTGCTGGGCATTTACTTGATGCTTAGGAAATGCTAGTTCCCTTCTCACTCTTCATGCTTCCTCCTACCTTTGTCTTTTTGCTCCCTGTCTGTCCCCAACTCCGTGTCCTCTTATACCCCCGGGCCACTCAAAGCTGCAGAAAAAAATCATATTTTCTGTGATGGTTCTGAGCAGGACCATTGTCATAGGAAAAGTGACTGGATCATTTTAACCCATGAGGAATTAGGGGGTACACAAGATCACAATGATGACCCCCAGGTGACCCTACAGTGGAGGACCAGCTCTCTGGCCTTGGGGCTGAGGGATTTGAGGGCAGCTCCTTTAGGAATCCTCTCGGTGCTGAGGAGGAGTAGTCCCACATTCATGCCTCTTTTGGGAAGATTCCCCTGTGTGATTGATCCTTGTTCAGGCTTAGGACTGGGGCAGTAGCAGAACTCTGACCATCTCAGCCTAGCTCGGGCGCTGTTCTGAAGCTCACATGAGCTCCCCAAGCAGCCCGTGAAATAAGCCGGCTGTCCTGAGCTGCTTTTCCTGAGGTGCAAAGCTGAGCCTCCTCTGTCCCTCCTCCCCTCCTCTCCCTCTTGCCTGTGTTGATCCTGAAGCACATCTTCATGAAGGTCCTTCATGCTGAGCTCCAGCTCAAGGCCAGCTCTTCCAGAACCCAGGCTGCCATAGGGGTCCAGGGAATGTAGCTTGCTGCGTACCTCAATCCTGAGCTTCGCGTGAACATGACAGGTGCATTGCAGAAGGGGAGCTCCCACCTGGAGGACTCTGAGGTAGTGCTGTGGAGACTGATCATGGCACCGAGAATTTACTCCAGTCCAAGCCATAGGCTGAGGGAAGGTCCTGCAGCTGTCCTGTGGGTGGATAACCACGCAGGAATCCAGTAGAACAATGCACATGTTCACTGGGCTTTGGTGGGAGACTCGCTCCTGGCACAGAGACGATTTTGCCTCTGGGGTCTCAGTGCCCCTTTCACCTTTATCTGAAAGACACGTGGATGTGGCCTCAACCTCAGAGTATTCAGGACCCTCAGTCTTTGCCTCTGGTAGGCTTTGCTCAAAGAGAGAACAAAGACATGGAAGCAAGTGGTTCCAAATCCAAAATGAATCTTTAAAAATAGAAGAGACTCAAAGTCCATTATCAAGAGACTTTAAAAACTAACAAGAGCAGTCACTGGCCAGGTGCTTCTGATGAGGCTCCCTCAGAAGACTCAAAAGTTAGACAACTTTGTTCTTTGTCTAGGAGAAATTTAGAAGCTACAGGGAAAGAAACACAGTGAGGTTTTTTTTTTCTTTACTTCTCTGAACTCAGCTTAATTTGCACAACAAGGATATAATAGCTCTCTCATTGCTGGACACAATACTCAATGCCCACAAATTAAAGATTTCATTTGGGTCACGGTTTCTGAGGATTCAATCCATGGTCTGTTGGCTCCAAGGCAGGAACATCGTGGCAGAAGGGTGTGGGGGAGCAAAGCTGCTTGATTCCTGGGGGCCAGGAAGCAGAGCAGGGAACAGGGCCAGAGAGAGTGGACACCTCCAGGACCCCCTCAGACACACCCAGAGGTGTGCTCCACCAGTAGCTGGGGCAGCGCCCAAGCCAGTCAAGGTGCCACAATCAAGCTTCTCCATCAGAGTAGATAATGAGAGTACATTGAGCTCTTTGAATGTGTCACATAATCAGATAGATGTGACAATCTTTATGACTACCCAAGAAAGAGACAATATTTTCCCATTTTACAGATGAGAAAACTGAGACTTAGAGAGTTTCTGTGGCTGTCCCAAAGGCACCCAGATAGAAAATACCAACACTGTAACTTGTCCCTAGACACTTTACCTGGGTCTTACTCTTTTCTCTTCAAAACATAATAGCTCCCAACAATAACTCACCTTCGCCACAGGGTGCTGGTGATGGCGGAGACAGCTGCTATACGTATAAAGCCACATGCTACATGTAGAAGGCTACCAGTGGAGCCTTGGCACATGGAGAATACCCAAGGAAAAGTTGTCATTGTGTATTCCTTTTGGCTTTAGACACACTTGCTGCAGGGTTCCTCTTAGCCAAGTTGATTAGCCTGGTTTGGTGCATGGCTTTGGGAAATGAGTGAGGCCAGTGTGGCCTGAATCCAGAAAATGAAGAATCAGGAGGGCAGAGCAAAGCTGTTAGGGTCCCCAGTGCAGAATCATTTAAAGACTAAATCACCCCAAATCCACTTGCAACTCCCACTAATGCTAACAGCTGGGGCTTATATGTGGTGTTCAATGTGACCTTTGGGAGAGGAGGGGACCCGGCCAATCCGGGCCACTATGCTTTCCACCTGAGCCCTACTGGTGCCAGAGCCGAAGGCAGAGATGCTGCTGCCCTGGAAAATCCACACTGTATCTGTGCACAGCCCTCTGGGAATGCAGATCCACCTCATACAAACAAGGGCAGCTCTCTTCCTTCAACACCTACCAACACACGGAAGGAACTCAAGACGGGAATGGCCATCATCGCTAATACTTACTTGGAAATTTATACATGACGATCTCATTCCTTTGGCTGGGATGTCTCTCTTTATGTCTCGGTTTAGGTATCTCATCTACTATTTAAGCACCAATTCCGTTTTTTCCTTTCTGTGTCTGACTCATAATTACTCCACAAAAAGTGCCAGTTTAGAAAACGCAACATTAACTAAATAGGATTGGGGTAGCCATAATGAGCTCCTGAAGATGGATTTTGCTATCTGCTCAATGGTGCCTCTGGGTGAGGAGCAATGGTGTCTCCAGTCTCTGGAGCATTTAAGGACATCAACGCCAGAAATGAGCATGCTTTTCACTCCCACATCCAAGCATTCATCACTGTTTCCTGTCTTCTCTTTTCAGCACTTTTGCCCCCAAAGATGAAGAAGGTAGATGATTCCCATGTGTCTTTGTATTAAGTGCCAGTCATGCACTGGAGGACCAAGCAGATCAACTCCCTGGCCTTCTACCCCCAAGAACTCTCAGCAGTCAGGGGGCCAAGCAGGGACAGAAGCTAGCACAGCCACTGCAGGGGATAGCGTGGGGACAACAATGCCATCTCATTGCTGTTTCATGCACAAGGAAATTGAGAGTGAAGTTCCGGAAAGTGAAGAACCCTTGTACATCCCACAGTGAGAAGGTGCTCGGGATAACTTTGTAAACAAAGGGAATCTGTGCAAAAAGCTAGTGTCCACTCCTTCCCTGCAGTCCCTGAGCCTTTTTATCAGGGTTGTGTGTCAGAGCACATACAGCCCACCCTGGTGGCTTGGCTAATCCCAGTCTAGTTGTGGACTCTCAACAGCCCAGCTCTTGAGGTGATTCCTCGCCAGCTCCTTCGCACAAGACCTAGTTGCATCATTCCTGTGTCTTGCATGAATCCAGTTTTAGTAAGAACCTCCTATTTTCTGTTGCAGTTACTTCTGCAATTACAATTGTCCTCATAATAGCACCCTCATCTAAATTAGGAAGACCTTTTAGTCTGGATTTCCAATTCCAAGCCTGTCAAATTTCCACCAAACATCAAACCTGAGATACTCTCTATGAGATTATCCACACAGGGGTGAGGGCTTGCAGGGGACAACAGAGTGAAATTACATTCCTCTTTCTGAATAGCTACTCAACAAAAACCATGCTCACTGCATGGGACAGTGCTGCTAGACACTTTCCATATATTGGGGAAGTGCAAAAGTGATTCCCCTCTGACGTCTCAAACCAGCCGTAGATACTTCCTCCCAGCAGGTCTGGTCCAAAGATACACAAGAAGAGCTGAAGTTAAACTGCTGAGGGCTGTGGGATCAGTGCTCTGCTCTTCAACTCCTAGGCTCCCCGTCTATAATAATCCACTCCTTGTGAATGCGTGGTGGATAGAGTGGGCTGGAGGAACTGCAGAACTGATCCCTTACTAGGAAGAGAGCAGCTATTAGCTTTTCACTCTTACTCAGAATTTGGAACATCCCAATTAAGAGAGCAACATTGAAAAAGAAACTAACAGGGCAGGGCATTTAGCTCAGTGGTTTTGCCACCTGCTGCACAAGCACAAGGACCCGAGTTTGATCCCCGGTACCAAAAAGAAAAAAGAAAAGAAAAGAAAAAGAAACTAACATTTCAGTCTGACTCCTGGTCCTCCAGGGAACTAGACCATGCCCCTGCTGTAGAGGGTGTCGGCAAAGGACCAAATGCTCCTGGGGATGGAACACACCTTGGCAAGCAGCAGGAGCAGTACATGTGGAGAAGTCCAACCCCTCAGCCTCTGCCATCCAGGAGTTATGCCACCCACATAGGCAGCCACTTGGTCTCTCTCTGGCTCTGTTTACCTGTGTGAAAGTCTCCTTTTTTTTTTTAGCACTGGAGATTGATCCCAGAATCGTCACACTGAACTACATCCCCAGCCCTTTTGTTTATTTAGTTACTTATTTTTATTTTTATTTTTATTCTGAGATAGTCTAAGTTGCTAAGATAACCAGACTCTGCTCAAACTTACAATCCTCCTGCTTCAGCCTCCCAGAATGGTAGGATTAAAAGTGCATGCTAATCTGCCCAGCTCTTGCATGGAATTTGTAACATCCACCCTTACAAGGATGTTGTTATGAAGAGCAAAATAGAAGACAGTTAAATAGGAAGAAGAGGGATCTTTGGCAAATAGATGGAGGAACAAGAGATGGAGGAGGAGGGGAGGGAAGGAGAAGAAGACAGAAAAAAGATTTGAAAGCAAAAAACAATGAAAATAAAGCTTTTGCAAATGAGAAGGGAACCGGAAGAGGCAGGAAGAGTTGGAAGAGGCAGGGAAGGGAGGGAGAGGGATGGGCTGGGAAAAAAGAATTAAATATTTTATGTACATGTTCCATCTTCCCATGATAAATGTAATCATTAGGGTTGTTATTAATAAGTAGGATAACTTATAAAATTCCTCTTTAAAGTGAAAAGTTCCTAAATTTGGATTTGAACAAAATTAGCTAAAATATATTTCAGTCATTTACCAAGAATTCATGTAATGTAAACAAATGTGGATGACAGTTACATAGAATTTTAGGCTTTACTTAGTTCTGAGCATTTATTCAATCTATAATCTGGTTTCCTGGATGGATTTAAAAACCAGAAAGCAGAGGGTTTACCTTCCTATTAATGTTCTATGGTCAATTAGCTATCATTTCCCATTCTGGTTAATCAGTCAGATCTCCGTGACCTCAAATTATTCTTCATGCCATATTTGTTTTGTACCCAAAATGTCCCAGACTCTTCTAGACATAGGAGTCAAGTGTATTGAAGCCAAATCAATACAAACTACTCAAAAATGCTCAAGTCCAAAATCTGACCATGTCATTGATGGAGCTCTCTCCTCCTCACAGCCCATCAGGTCCACACACCTTGCCAGTAACCCCTGCTGAATGTCTGTCAGAGGTGCTGCTTCTCTCCATTCCCACTTCTACACCTCAGATCTACAGATTTGTGATGTTAGAGGAAATAAATAGATCACCCTTGTTTCTGACACCAACCGCTACACGAAGGGTCAGTCCACAAGTCTGACCACACTGACACTGTTCTCATATCACAAGATGTCTTGAGTCCACTCTGTTTTGACAACTTGCAGTGCTCAGAATGCACTGAAAATAGTTATGCTCAGGGTTACAGTTCAGGACAGCTAGAGGACAAGACTGAAGCACCCATGTACAAAGGGCACCGGTGAAGCCCTGAATGGTCCCAAACATGGAACTGCAGGTGGCCCTGCCCCTGGAGGACACTAGAAGGATGATGTTCTCAGAGAAGATGTGTGACTGCCAACAGGGAAGTTCTGAGGGCTTTGTGTCCATGGTGGTTATCGGGCTCAGTGACATAAACCTGACTGGCTTCCTGTGAACACTCATGAAGGCAACCTCAGACCCACACCCCAAATCAACCTTAGGTTCCCCGGGGGAGACCCAAGTCCTCCGGGCAAACACAAATACCCCCAAAGGTGACATTCCAAAGGCTCAGAGATGACTTCTCAGGAGCTGAGCATGAGAGTCTAAGACTTCTCTTTGGACAAAGTTAGTCTTTACCACCCAACACCTAGTCTTTGTCCTGGAGTCATGCAATGTTCTTTCACTGACTTCCCCTGACTCCAGTCTCTCCAGTCCATTCTCTATCCTCCTGACAAATAAGTATCCTGACAAGCAAATCCGACTGGGTCATTCACCTGTAAAAATTGGGTGAGGAATTCCTCATCATCCTGAGGATTGAGATTACACTCCTGAGTATGACTTATGGGATCTAAGTGTGAGAAAAAAGTGTCAGAGTGCTTGATCATGATGGGAGAATTAGAAACTATGTTCTAGTTTATTTATTTTTGATAAAAAGCACTATCTAGACCAGTGATGCCAAAACTCTTAGAGACGGAGGGCCCAAACTGCAACCCCAAACCCACTTATTTATCACAAAGTGCCAACACTGCCATTGTACCTAAACACTGAGGTTTAGTTTAGAGAAAACTCATACACATGGCTGGAGTGCGAACAGAGAGGGATCTGTGTACTGTGCTGAATGCCATGGGTTTGCCACTCCTGATCTGGACTGTTCCAGAGGAAGGACTTCACCTAGACACAATAATTGGTCAGGAACGCCGACATGCAGGAAGACTGTCATCAGATCAGGGACAGTTGTATCGGTGGTAACTAGAATAAGGCTTTTCTTGGCATTTTTTTCTTTTTTTTTTCTTTCATTTGTCTTTTTTTTGAGCCAAGGTCTCACTCTGTAATTCAGGCTGGCCTTGGACTCACTGTGTAGCCCCCAAGCTGGCCTCAAACTGGTGGGAAGCTTCCTGTCTCAGCCTCCCAAGTGCCAGGATTACAGGTGTGCCCCACCACACCCAGCACATAATTTTTTCTTGCCAAAACTGAAATCAAAGCATGTGAAGCCATTTGTCACTATATTAATCAAATGCATTATCATTTTTAAAAGGAAGATTGGAACTGTGCAGAAATGATTGGCTTAGGAATCAAACAAACTTTCAGTGACAGCTCTGTGACTTTGGGTAGCTAATTGAAATTTTCTGATCTTGACCTTTCAGATCTTTTAAAAAATCTGGAAATACTTTCCCTATAGATTTGTTGAGAAGACAAAATGGATTATAGTTAGTTTGGGATACTTCACTGCATTGGAAACAGTTACAAGCTTTGGGAAAACAATAGCAAACAAGTCGGGCCCAATCTTTCTCATAGGATTTAAAACCTCTTGTCAAAGTACTTGACAGAGAGTGGGTGTTAAGAACTAAAATTTACTTACTGATCTTATTATTAGAGATCTTCCAGCGTAAGTCTGGCCTCCAGTCTGTTGGTCACCCTTTATTTTTCCATGGGTACATTAAGGAGCCACATTTCTAGAGGACCCCAAAGGAGAAAGATTCCATTCAGTTGTTTGGATTAGAAACATGTCACCATGTGAAGTGATTTTTTAAAATTATGTGTGATATGATACACACTGCGTGTCATCTAAAAAGTTGGCAAGAGGAGAAGCGCCACCCTCAGGAAGTCACCCTGACTGGATGGGCCTTCTAGTGCAGTCCACACTGCCACCAAGAACCCAAGCCTGGGGTGACCATGGAGCATGCCTGGCAGGATTGTCCTGGATGGCTTACCAAGGGCACCTTTTTCTATGCTTCCGCATTAGCAATATTTTGCTCAAGTTTGAGTAGCATTGCTTTCCTATTAGTAAAGATAATATCAACTTCTTTGTCAAAATAATCAACAGTGATGTCTTGAGAATAACAAGATTTCAAGGAGGTAAGCCAGTGAGATTTGTTGGACACCATCTACTTATTTGAAAGTGATATTTGTCTGTGTTTGAGTGTGAGACTGGGAATTGGCTAGGAAATCTGATAGATGGTCCTGAACTACCCCTGCCTTGGTGGCTAGAATTTGGAAGAGTTGAAATTTAAGATGCAGGAGCGTAACAGCATTGTGTCAAGCAAGAAAGAAAAGAAGGAGGTGTCTCTGAAACCCATCAAAGACCAGAACTGGGCCAAGGTTCTTTGCTGTGCTGTGAATGACTTCCACTTACTCCCTGGTTGGATGAAGGTTAAGTAAGACTATGCATATATGCGCAGGCCTTATACCTGGAATATAAGGGCTATCTGCCCAACATGAAGATAACTTTGCCAAAACTGAGTGACGAGCAGGCCTGGAAACCTGTCCTGTAGGGATTATGTGTACGTGGCCCTCACAGAGAAATGACTTTTAGGTCACACTTGGATGGGTAAGAACTCCAAATGCATGTACAACTCCAAGGATGACACCATGGGACACATAGCAGTTGCTGGGAACATTGAGAATGACTACAATCGTGTGGTCTGTTAAACACACTGGAAGGAGAAAAGTAGCTTTTGCTGTAGCTTTTGCAATGTAGCTTTTGCTTAGGAATCATTTGGCAAATCCCAGGAAGAAGTTACACAATGCTTGACTTTCAAATTTTTGTGAATAAATATCACTTTTCACCCAGATAGAAGAAAACAGCCTTTTGTGGTGCTGTGATCCACTGCATGTCCACTGTGGTGAAATGCAACCACAGGCTCCTCCATCCCTGTACTTGGGACCCCTCATTGTTGTGGTCTAGAGCTTTGGCTCCTGTTCATCTCTGTCAGTAGCCATGAGCTATGGCTCACCCAAGGATGTGCTCTCTCACACTTTCTAGGCTGATTTTTGTCTCTATTTTGGATGTAGGGAGAAAAGAAATAATGGCTTTTGAAATTGTGCTGCTTTACAAGATGTTCGAGTGTTTGACAACCTAGAATAACGAGTCTGGTGCTAAGCAGATAAATCAGCCATAGATATCTGTTGGTTGTTTCTTTTGCTATTTTTTCCTTCATTATTGTTTTCTGTGATGTTCCAATTTTTTTAATGATGAAACATATTGTACTTAAGGGGAAATTTCTATCTCAGTTCAACAGACTCTTGTAAGGAACTCATCTGTACCAACTGTGGGATTTATCATCACTTGGACCAATTCCCTCTCCTGCGATAAATCACAGGCTGTGAAGGAAGCCAGTGTGTAAACTATGACACGATACCAAAGCATCATTACAGAGGAGGCACCAGGTACAATTTGAGTGCATCAGAGGGAGGGCCGGAGTTTACATGCAAAGGCCAAGAAGGCTACACAGAGAGATCCTGGAAGGAGTTTTAAGAAAGAGTGTTTGCTTCTTAGGGGATAGAAACACAAGGGTCTGTGGAAACACAGCTTGACCCTGAACTGCAGGGAGATCCTTAGGACTCAACACAGAGTCCAAGAAAAGCCTCAGAGCAGAAGAGGGCCATGTCCCAGGCCACGGAAGAGCTTATACATGAGCTAAAATGTGCTTTGTGCCGTCTTACAGGACTTGAACAGCCTTTAAAGATTTTAGTGGGGAAGAATCAGGATCAGTTTGTTGATTAAACAGAAAGGAAATGGAGTAGACCTTCCTTATCCAAGAGTACTGCATCTGGGGTCTCAATGAAACTTAGAGTGAAAAGTAATTTTTAAAGCTTTACATCAGTGCTGAACACGAAGGGTCATTCTATCATTCTCTAAACACTACAATGTAGGACCAACTTACAAAGCTTTTGCTTGTAATATGTAACATACACATGATTTAAAGTATAGGGCAGGGTGGATGTGGGTTGTATGCAAATGCTATGCCATTTTATATACACCAAGCTCTAGCATCTGTGCATTTTGGTGTCTGTCATAGTGTGGAACTAACTGTTCCCCAAAGTCTCCTGTGTGGGGAAGGTGATGGATCATGGGATGCTGTGCTCATCAGTGGATCCAACTGTGGATGAGTTCAGGGCTGAATGCACTGTAGGAGGCAGGATCTGATTGGAAGGAGTCAATGGAGTGAGACCTGGAAGGCTGCATTCTTGTCCAGGGCTCCTCCTGTCTCTCTGCTTTCTGATTGCCATGGGGTAAACAGCTTTCCTCTGCCAGGCCTTTCCACCATATTATTTCTGCCTTAGAGACAGCTGACTATGGACTGAACCCACTGGAAACGGAGCCAAATAAACCTGTCCTCCTTTAAATTGTGGGTATTCGGTATTTTGTCCCAGTAATAGGAAAGTGACTAAAAGAGTATCCGTGGGGGTTTCTGGAATCAATTGCCTGCACATAATGAGGGATCAGTGTATGTCCCATGAGCTCCAAATGTGTCTTCTTCAATCTAAAATAATTAGTTTTTTACCAACATCCACTTTCCATTTTGTTATCTTTGAGTTAGGTCAAAAGATATAGGAAAAAGCACTCCACACGTGGAGGTTCACACTTTGCCTCTCTACACATTGAGGTTCTGATAAGGAACAAGGGAGAGATTTCCCATCAACTTTATTCAGCACACAGCTTCATCTCTAATAGTCCTGGTTCTCCCTAAACACCCAGCACATCCAGCTCCTAGCTCCAGTGTTGGGAGCAGGGCCTCACCTCCATGTCTACCAACCAACTTTCCTGGTCTGGGCTGCAGCCAGTCCTCTGGCTCCCTGCCTTATCTCTACAACCTGGGTGGTGTCACCTTAATTTCAATCAACTCCTCCCATATCTCAGAGGTCAGAGAAGTCGTGCAGCCCATGGGTGGTGATAACAGACCCACAATCAGCATTCTCAGGAAGGGGATACTGAGCTGGGACCCAGGCTCTGACATTTCCATCACATTGCAAAAGTTCTTGGGATGGTAAGTGTCTGAGGGCTTTATGCTTGCTCAAAACAGCCAGTTACTCACTGGCAAGTGAATAACCCAGCTCTGCTGTCATCCATGATGACAATGACCCCCAGTACTACTATTGTATCCAATGTCCCTAAATGTTGTGGTGTACATGTGTTAAACCGCCTGTGAACTCTATGAAATATTACAGAATGATACTGTCATCTTGTCTCCACTCTTTCTCCATCTACCTCCCCAGTTGAGGGACTCAGAAAAATAAACAAAACTTCCATTGGAAACAACATTCTGCTTTTGTTTGGTTTGTAAAGGGTCCAGGCTTCAAAAATGCTTGGATATTTGTACAGTTTACTGTCCTTGTCTCTCTGTTTTTGAGAAACCATGATTTGCTTAGGGTACAGGATGCTATTAGAACTAAGTGATCCTAAATTACTTTCACTGGGCAAAAAACAACATGACAGTAGAATAAACAAACAACCAAATACATAAAAATAGACTCTTCTCCCAGTGGCGATGAAAAGAAAGCATCTCACACAAGAGCATACAATACTAGGACTCATCTTGACAGAACTGCAATTTGGGGTGAGATTTCCTCATTTCTGGGTGTAGCCTTAGATGTTTGTCAGGGCACTGGAATGGAGTAGTGTCATTCATGCCCTTGACACTTTGCAGGGAACTTGGACATGTCATCCAATTTCGTTGCCATAATAAAACTGGAATGCAGGTATTATTATTACTATTCCTCTTCAAGAGTGAGGGGACTCAGAATGGTTAAGCAACTTGCCTAAGATTGTAGTGGGGGGAAATAGGATTTGAACCCACATTCATCTGGCCTCAAAAGCTGTAGATTTCCTGTTTGTTTGCTTGTTCTTTCATACAGTCCCAGAGACAGCAGTCTACATTTCCAGGCAGATATTGAAGTTTGATAACACAAGAAAGTCAACAAGACAAATGGGGTTGATTCAAATAACAACATTGATCATGAAAATGAACAAATAAACAAGATAGAAAAATTTAATTCAATACCCGAAATCCCAAACATTGGCCCTCTCCCTATTTGGTAAGAATGTGGGCAGGCACGAGATGTGGCTTTCGCGTCTCTAAAAAACCCCCAGTTGAGTGGAGAAGGCAAATTTACACATAAATCATTCATGCAGTCCTTTATCCATCCTTTCATTAACTTTTTATTTTCCTGGCTGGGGCCATAGTAGGCACTGGAATAAAAGCATTGCACAAGTCAGACCTGGTCCCAGCTAGGATCAGCACACCCTGAAGATCCAGAGAAGTCCTCTCCAATGTCAACCTCATTCTCCATGAGAGTCCTTTGTTCTCAAGATCTCCGCTGATTCTGGGAGTTCATGCTTTTTTTAAATGGTCTTTTTATTCTTTGCTTTTTCCCAGGTCCCAGAAAAAAAGCACCACCACCAAGGAACTCACAGAGCTTAGAGGATGCTCTGCTGAGCAGGTGAACATCATTCAAAGAAAACAGAAAGTCTGCAAGCTCTCTTTCCTGCAGCTCATGGCATGTATGGCCCACTTTATCTGTCTCTTTCTTGCTTCCCCAGTTCCAGCTCTTTTCAAGTTGTGTCTAAGTGTCTAGTCAAAGTAAGTTCCTAAACTAAGAGCATCCTCCACCAAGTGTGTGGAACTGATGAGGAGGCTATGGGAGCCCAGCCAGGGTGGACCCCTGAGAACAA